ACTGGAGCTTACCGTTGCATCGGTGAGTGTGGCAGGGGAGCCAAACCTAGGTTTGAAATAAATGACTCTTTGCTTTTGCATCGGACTGACTGGCTCCCTGGGGGTCTTGGGAACTTTGAAATCTGGGCACAACACAAGGCCGGGGGAGCTCAGGAGGGTCAGGATGCGGGCGGCCCGGCCCTCCCAGGACCGAGCAGCCAGGCGTCCTCCAGCTCCTAACATCATGGCCGCGGTTCCAGGGCCAGGAGTCCGCTTAGGCCTCGGGGGCACCGTCTGAAGTCGGCGGGGCTGCGGGCACCTGGAGGCCGGGCGGGCTGGGCGTCCGGATGGGCTCACGCGCCGGGCTGGCAGGCGAGGCCGCCGTCAGCGGGAAGCGCCCACGCGTGGCCCCCTCGGCCTGAGGGGCGCACCCCCTGGCCGGCGAGGCCCCAGGAGCAGCAGGCGGACACTGCGTGTCCCTGGGACGCACCCTCACGGCCGCGTCGTCCCCCTTCCCCGTTGGTGGGCGGGCGCCGTGGACGCAGCCAGGTGTGAGGTCGTGGGACACAGACCCCTCTGGGGGAAGCGTGCAAGACGTGGAGCCGTGTGTTCGAAGCCCCACGCAGGCGACCTGGCTCTCGGCACAGGGGGAGACGGTGGGGCCTGCGGGCGAGGTGATGGCCTCGGGTCGGGCAGAGCAGGGACCCAGTGGCCCAGAGCCCGCCCCACGGCCTTCCCCTCCCCTGCCCGGCACGCGGAGGGGCTGCGGCGCCCCGGCTCCCACCACCTGGCTGGGGCCTGGAGCCCCTCGGGGCGGCCCGGGAGCACAGCTCTCCTAGAGCAGCCGCCAGCCTCCATTCAGACCGTTCAGCCCCCCCCCCCCCCGCGGGTCGCGCCTGGGGCTATGGTCTGTTGTCCGTCTCCCCCACACCCAAGCCTTGCTCCTCCGTCAAAGCTGTGTTGGCGGCATCCAGCCCGGGCAGAGCCCACAGGGGGAGCGAGGCTGTGGACCTGCTCAGCGCTCACTGGGCAGCGTGACCTCCGTCTCCCCACCTGCCGCTCGCTGAGCCCACGACGCGCCTGACACTCATGGACGTGGACACGGTCCTCAGGGTGCCCAGGCCCCTGTTACAGGTGGGACGTGGAGCTGCGCCTGCAGTCGGGGACGGAGTTGTCCACGGCCCATGCCCCTCCCCCGCCACCTCCCCATCTCATCGTGGGCCAGAGTTAGAGGTGCCAGGTTCTGGTCGTCCTCGGTGCCCCCCACAGCGGTGAGGGGTCCCTAGGAGACTGTGCTGGTTCCCACACCTCGTCTGGAGGAGTGACGGCTCAGAGCGTTGACGGAGCACCAGGAGGAGATCCAGGAGGAGGCAGGGTTCCCAGGGGACGTGGCCTGGGACCAGCTGGCCCGCCCTTTGGTGGCACCCCCTGCCCCCCTGCCCCCCTGCCCCGATGCCGACTTTAGGAGGAAGCCCTTGGGGTGTGTAAGGGTGGGATGTCTTCATCCCAGCCGGGACGTGGGTGCTGAGGACCCGACAGGAAAAGTCCCTGGTCCCCGCACTTCGTGGGCCTTGTCCCCTGCGTGGAGCCTGGGAAATGGCAGCGTCCCAGACCCTGTGAGGGGCGGGCGGTGGTGAGGACGGTGGGCCTCAGGGTTTCTCTCTGCAGCACTGCGGGCGGCGGCCTTGGCTACGCCTGCTCCCTGCCCCTGTGAGTTTCCGTTTCTAAAATTGTACTGTCCGTGGGGGGGGGGGGGGGGGGGGCGGTTAGGGGCTCCCCGCAGTCGGATCTGCGTTTCCCTAATGAGGAATGATGTTGAGGGTCTGCTCATGGGCTCCTTGGCTGTTTGTGTACCTTCCCTGGAGAAAGTAATTCCAGTGAATATTAATAAAAAGATGAGTAAAACGTAATAGAATATTGATGAGCATTCCAACATAGAGCAAACTCTCCAACTGTTCCATTGGGCTCGCTGGGGAGCCAGACACCCGGTCTGCAGGTCGCACCCAGTGCAGGGACATCGGGGTCCCCAGGGACCCCCAGGTTAGCGATATTCAAAAGCGCCGCAGGTGGGTGGACATGGTCCTGAGCCATGCGTCACCCGGGAAACGGGTTCAAGCGCAGATCCCGGGCCAGGAGGTCCGGTGGGGCCGAGACTGTACCTCTCACAAGGCCGGGGCGATGCCGGGGATGCCACCTGAGGGTCGTGGGCACAGACTCCTCCGGAGCTGCGGTCGAGGCTGCGGTCCTGGGGCCACACTCAGAATGTCAGCATCCACCCTGCGCAGCACCGGCCCAGCAGCACGGATGCCTGGGGCCGGCTAGACGCGCAGACCCCCAGGCCCGGCCCAGCCTGCGGGGGGGCCTGCCAGCCACCTCACCCCCAGCAGGCGTTGGCCTGGGGCGCTCCCTGGTCCTGCCAGCTCCCAGCTGCACGAGCAGCGGGTGGCGCCCCCGCACAGCTAAGGGATCAGTGGTGAGTGAGCTGCTCAGGGCGCTGGCCTTTTTGGGGTTAGAAACCCCGCAAGAGGGCAACGGTGGTCTCCCAGCCACGTCTGCGCAGCTCCTTGGCGCCCTGGAGGTGGCAGTGCAGGCCGGGAAGTGAACAGCCTGGACGCGCAGCGGCTCCTCCCTGCCCCAGCGTCCAGGGCGGGCCTGGGGGTCTCCCGGCTCCAGGTTCCGGGGAAATGAGGAGTGTGAGTCTGCCCAGCAGCTCTCCCTGAGCGATCTCCCCCAGGACGATCCGGTGGGCAGGGGAGTGAGGGGGGAGGGGGGAGGTTCCTGTTTTGGGGAGAGCATTCATGCAGTCGTTTGGTCACGTGTTTGTATTTTTTAAAAAATATTTTTATTGATGTCAGAGAGGAAGGGAGAGGGAGAGATAGAAACATCAGCGAGAGAGAATCATGGATCGGCTGCCTCCTGCACACGCTACACTGGGGATGGAGCCCACAACCCGGGCCTGTGCCCTGGGCGGGAATTGAACCGTGACCTCCTGGTTCATAGGTCGACGTGCAACCGCGGAGCCAGGGCTGCAGCCTGGTCATATTTAATTGCCTGCACCCAACACAGGCAGCTGCCAGGCGCTGGGGCCGCAGCCCCCATGCACGTCGGCCGAGTGAGTGTCCGCGGCTTCCTGGCCTCAGAGCAGATCTGCGAGGGTCGGACCCCAGGTGGGAGGCGGGCGCTGAGGGGCGTGAGCAGCTGGGCAGACGGAGGGGCGGGGCGGGGGGCGTGCATGGCGACTTTGACATGACAACTTCGTGCCTGTCGCTTCACAGCTGCCCTTCTGCCGGTGACAAACCGGACTTGGCCAATCAGCGCTGAGTCTGTGGGACCCCGTGCCACTCAGAACGGGAGCTGACCTTCTGTGCAGGGATGGCCACACGGTGGGGACGCTGGCTGTCGGGGCCACGGCTCTGTTGGCCGCGGTCGCCCCGAGCTTGGGGGGGGGGGGCGCGGGGGAAGCATGGGGATGCCCTGCTGATCGGAATCGACCCGACCCCAGCGCTGCGTCTCCACCGCGGGTCTGCCGTGTCCATGTCCCCTTGACTTCCCAGACCCCACCTCCCTCCCGCCGTCTCTCTTCTTAAAACACAGCATGTTCGCATGTTCTTATTCTGGCCGGTGTTGCTCAGTGGTCAGAGAGTCTACCCGCACACCGAAGGGTCCCGGGTTCAATGCCCAGTCAAGGGCACATGCCTGGGTTGCAGGTTCGATCCTTGGCCCCAGTCGGGGCGTGTGCGAGACGCAACCATTCTATGTGTTTCTTTCTCACATCGATGTTTCTCTCTCTCCCTCCCTCCTGTCTACTCTCTTTAAAAATCAATGGAAAAATATCCTCGGGTGAGAACCAACAACAAAAGCATATTCTTTCTGTAACTATGACAGTAACACGTGCCCAACCAGGACCCTCATAAGAACCAAGCAAAACCCCATAGCTCCGTGCTCAGAGGGGACGCCACCGACACGCCTTCCCAGGCTTTGACTCATTTTCCAATCCCTGCAGGGCATTCCGCGGGCGTCCGTCCAACACCTCCCGCCCACCCCCGCCAGCCTCACCGCCTTCACCCGCAGCCGGGGCCCCTGGATTGGCGGACAGCACCATCGTCGCCGGATCACCAGACAGGAATACCGTGTCACCTTCCCATGGGTCACCGAGATGTGCCCAGCCTTGCCTCCCGGATGCCTTGTCCTGTGGCCCTCACTCCCTGGGACCCCCGGCAGCCCCCCAGCATTTATTATCTGAGTCTCGGCAGCAGCATCCTGTCTCCTGCCTTGACCTCTCCGTTCGGGCGGTCTGACCTCCGTTTGCTGCTGAGATGACGCCTCCCGGCCCTGGGCTCGGGGGCCTTTGGGGACACTCCCTGGTCGAGGGAGAATCCCGCATGCCACTCAGCGTGCCGCTCAGCGACCCATCCTTCGGCCCAAGCCTCCCCCGCACCCTCCTCTTCCGCGCCCATGCCGCCTCCCCGGGGCCTCTGAGCTGGTCCTCGGCGCCCCTGCCGCAGGTGGCCGGGCCTTTAGCAGGTCGCACCAGTCCCTTCGGTTTGTCACACGTACGTCTTGCTCCCCTGGGGCCGGGCGCTCACCGGAGCCGGGATTGCTTCATTCATCTTTGTGTGGCAGGCTGGTCCCCGGGGCTCCGCGCTGACCGGCCAGTGCTCAGGTGGTGCCGGCGTTCCGTGTGCTTGTAAAGACATAATCTATTGCAAACACACGTTTCACCCCGAACGCATCCGAGATTCACAAGAAGTTTCCAAAAATATACACGGGGAGGCCCCCTCTTACCCCATAGCCAGCATCCCCAGAGGGAACACGGCGTAATCATACTCTAATATCGTCACCAGGGAGTTAACGTGTGCAAGCCGTGGGCCGTATTCATGTCTTACCACTTACACAGTGTGTGTGTATATGTGTGTGTAGTTTTTTTAAAAAAACATACTTTAAAAAATATTTTTATTGCTTTCAGAGAGAAAGGGAGAGGGAGAGAGAGATAGAAACATCCATGATGAGAGGGAATCATGGATCGGCTGCCTCCTGCACGCCCCCCACTGGGGATGGAGACCACAACCGGGGCCTGTGCCCTGACCAGGATCAACCCGGACCCTTCACCCCGCAGGCCGACGCCCTATCCACTGAGCCACGCCGCCGAGGGCGTGTGTGTAGTTTCATGTCATTTACTGCATGTGTCGATCTGTGTCACCATCACCATGGTCGAGCCACAGGACTGATCCGCCCCCTCGCGGCCCAGAGATCCCCCTCACGCTGCCCCTGTATAGCCCACCCACCCAACTCCTCATCCCTGGAAACCGTCCTCGCCTCCATCCTGTACCCCACCACTTAAAGAACATTCTAGACATAGAACCATAGAGCAGGGACCCTCTGAGACTGGCTCCCCGACAGCCCAGTTCCCTGGCGGCTCCTCTGCTCCGCTCCCTCTGACGGCTGAGCAGCGTCCGTGCTGTGGGCGGGACCGTGTCCTCGAAGGCCGTGGCGCGGGGCTGTTCCCATGGACGGCCGCTCTGAAGAAAGCTGCTGCCACCCTGGCCGGTGTGGCTCAGTGGATAGAGCGTCAGCCTGCGGACTGAAGGGTCCCAGGTTCAATTCCCGGGCAGGGCACAGGCCTGGGTTGCAGGCTTAATTCCCAGTAGGGGGCGTGCCGGAGGCAGCCGATCCATGATTCCCTCTCATATTGATGTTTCTATCTCTCCCTCCCTCTCCCTTCCTCTCCGACATCAATAAAAATACTTAAAAAAAGAAGAAAGAAAGCTGTCGCCAACAGCCGGGCACAGGTGTTTGTGCGCCACGAGTTTTGGGCTCTGCGTGAACGCCCGCGAGGGGCCTCTCTGGCGTATGATAGATGCGTGTCAGTTCCGTAAGGAACGTCACCCTCTCTTCCCAAGTGGCTGTCCCATGTCGTGTCCCGCCAGCTGTGCGGGTGATCAGGCTCCCCACCCTCTCGGCCGGGCGTGGTCACCGTTCGTCCGTCACAGCCGCCGGGGTGCGGAGCTGCCTCCTGTGGCTGTGACTTCACTTCTCCGCGGCCGACGGCGCGAGCTCTCTCCCCGGGTCAGTCCACAGCTCTGTCTTCTCCAGTGAACGTCTCTTCGTGTCCTGGTTGGATTGCTGCTCACTGTTGGTTTTTAAGGTTCTTTTTAAACAATATATCCTGAATCCGAGTCTGTGGGTAAATGGGGGTTTGCGTTCCTCCCGGCCGGTAGCTTGTTTTCCATCCTTTGAACAGGGTCTCCTTCCCTGTTGAGGTAGAATGGACAGGCCACCAGTTCACCCTTTTAAGGCGCACGGTTCCGTGGCTTTTCGCGCAGTCACACTGCTGTTCACCTCCTACCACTGTCTAACCCCTGACCATCTCATTGCTCCAGAGATAAACGCATTCCCGGGAGCCCCCTCCTCAGCCCTCCCCCCTCCAGCCCCTGAGCCGGCTTCCCGCCCCCACGGATGTGCCTGTTCCGGGGGCTCCACAGGGACCCCCGCAGCGTGACCTCGGCCTTCGGCTTCTCTCACTTGGCGCCATGCTTTCAGGTTTCACACGTCGCAACACGTGTCGGCATCGTTCCCACTCATCGCTGCGGAACAGCCCGTCCACTGTCCCGAGTTGAGCTGAGTCCTCCCAACACGGTACGTGGGCGCCGAACCCAAACAGGGACCGTGACCTTTTTCGGAAACCGAGGTCTCACGGGTGCAATGGGCTCGAACAGGCCCCTGTGGAGTGAGCCCCCGTGACGTGTGTCCTCAGGGGACACCAGAGAGAAGACAGTCACGGGAGGCAGGTGGAGGCAGGAGCCACAAGCCCAGAAACGTTCGGCCAGCTCACCCCCCGCCAGCAGCTGGAAGAGGGGGTTTCAGAGAGAGAGTGAGAGAGGGAGGGAGGGAGGGCGAGAGGGAGGATGTGGTCCTTCCAGCGGCTGCATTTCAGACTCTGGCTGCAGGACACACGTGTCAGCTGATTTAAGCCCCCGGGCCATGGTGACCTGTGTCCACAGGCCCCGGAAACCTCAATGTCCACTCACCATCTGATGGCCGTGTGGGCTGTTTTCAGCTTTCGGGCCGGTCGGTATGAATCATGCCACCCTGACGATCTCACGCATGTGGACGTATGTTTTCCATCCTCTTGGGCACATGCTTAGGAGTGGCCTCGCTGTGTCACAGGTAACTCCGTGTTACTTTTCTCCGTGTGGCAAAATCCGCGCTGGCGCCGCGATGGCCTCAGCCATCGCCGCTGCTGTTACGGGACGCGCGGGCTCCGGGCCAGGCCGGGCAGAGGGAGGGCCCTCGGGGCAGGCTGTGCGCCAGAGCGGCCGCTCCCGTCACGCCAACCCGGGAATGCAGGCGGTGCTGCGGGCTGGCGGGAAGCTGGCACACAGGCCTGCGTTGGGTGGTGTGAGGCCCGCGTGTGCGGCAGCCGGAAGCGAGCTGGCCTGTGGGCACGGCCAGTCTGGGGCTGGTTTTCCTCGGGGGCCACACACCGTCCATGAGCCCGTGGCTCTGGAGGGCGTCACGCCGGGAGGTGGCGGTGCAGGGGCCTGGCGGGGTCCTCTCCCTCCCCCGTGAGGCCCGGCCCTGCCCAGCGCACACGGACGCTCCCCGTGACCTTGCTGATCAGCGCAGAGAGGCGTGTGGCAGGGCACGGCCTACGCTGAACCTGCCCACGGGACCGCCACTGGGTTGACCACACGGCCCAGGACCCTGGCCCCCACCCGCACCCCTCAGGGCAACGGCCATGCCTCTGACACACTGACGAGCTTCGCTGCTCTTTGCGTTTCATACAAACAAAAGCCCAGAGGAAGGGAGAGGGAGAGAGAAACATCAGTGATGAGAGAGAATCATGGACCAGCTGCCTCCTGCACGCCCCCCACTGGGGATCAAGCCCACAACCCGGGCACGTGCCCTGACTGGGAATCGAACTGTGACCTCCTGGTTCATAGATCGACGCTCACCCCTGAGCCACGGAGGCCGGGTCTCTTACTGTTGCTTTCTCGAGGGTCCTCAGGTTGAGGGCATAGAGCAGCCTGTCGGTTTGGCCGGGGTCTGGGCTCGCCGAGCGGACACACCTCCCCACTGTCCCTCGGTGGCCGGTGGCACGTGCTCCCCGTGTGGCTGTTGCCCTCCTGCCTGTGGGCGCCTGGAACTCGTTGTCCTGCATGTCTGTGTCCACGCTGTCGGGGTGTACCTCAGGGGGTGGCCAGGTCATCGGTATTTGTGGGTTCAGGAGATGACGAGCTGCCAAACAGTTTCCAAAGTGGGGGTGCTCGATGTCCACCCCTCCCAGCAGAGAGCTCTTCCGGGGCCCCTGTTCCTTCACCGACACTGGGTGGTGGGGACCTTCATTGGCAGGGGTGGGGTGTCCCCTTCAGTGTCCCCCCTCAGGGCGGCTCACGGCGCCTGCCTTCCTGGGGACAGGAAAGGGCACTCCCTTAGGACACTGCCCTGCCCCTGGGGGGGCCTGTGACACCCGGCTTGGGTGGCATGTGACACGCAGCTGCCCTCTGCTGGGCAATCATGGAAATGCACGGTGCAGTCCTGGGTGCTCACCGTGGGAACGGAGCTGAGGCTGGTGCCCCCGGGGCAGGCCCACCCCGGACAACCCAGCCTGGCACCCACACTCGGGGACTCTCCACTCGTCCCCACGCACAGGAGGTGACGGGGAGGACTGGGTCCGGGGGCCTGAGGAAGCTCAGAGTTCCCAAACCAGCAGCAGCGGAGCAGGCGCCCTCAGAGGGCCGAGCCCCCCCACATCCCCTCCTCCCTCCTCCCCGCCCCCCTGCTCCCCAGACCCTGTCTCAGGTTGCCGGGTCGGCAGCCCTTACCCACGCGTGGTTTTCCCGCGTGTCCTGCTGCTCGGGGACCCCCTGCATCTCCTACTCCAGCCGCAGCATGGGGGCAGCCCCCCCCCACACACTCTCGCCCTGGAGGGGCCCAGGGGGATACAGGGGGCCACTCCTCCATGCCCCCGAGGGCGTGGTAAGGATCAGGGGAGGCGGTGAAAGGGCTGGGAAAGAGCCAAGCTGGGCAAACGGTCGTCTGCAGGCGGAGGGAGGGCGAGGTGTCTGCAGGCGGAGGGAGGGCGAGGTGGGCGGGTGCTGCTCTGCTCGGGCCGCCCGCTCCTCACGCTGACGCTGCGGCCCCCGGACCGCCCGCCCTGGCCGCGGCTCTGTGCTGGGTCTGCACCGGGGCGCCCACCGGAGCCCCCACCGCTAAGTGAGCCAGCTCCTCCCAGGCCACGAGGGGGAGGATTGGCATGAGGCGGGAGCGGCCGCCCTGAGAACCAGGCGGTTCCCTCTCACAAGACAACAGGCGCGGCCCGGGCCTGCCGCCCTCTGGGCCCGCTGAGCCCCGGGCCTCCATGACATCCGCACCTGCCCCAGGGTCTCCTCCTGCGCCGCGGCCACGCCTTTCTCAGGGGGGTACCGTCCGGTCACCGCCGCGGAGAGGCTCACCCTGGTGGGGCTCCCCCCACCAGGTCCGGCCAAACCGAGCCCCGGGAGCCACACCGCCGCCTGCTGCGCCCGCGCCGGTCCCCGCGGCCTCACGCCCGGCCGCTCTCCGCTCTGGCCGCTGATGTCGCCGCTGTCCCAGCAGCGCGGTCCCCGGACACGCTCCCGGTCGGGCTCAAAGCAGATGCTCGGTGTCTGCACCGCTCACGGCGCGGGCCTAGGAAGCAGTTCCCACGCCACGGTGCCCGACAGACAGGCGCCCACCCAGCTCCCGGCCCGGGCGTCCCCTCCTCACCCCCGGCTCACGCCCACGGAGAGCGCACGGGAAGATTAACTGCCCCTCCCGCTGCCGGCTCCCCGGGATAAACAACTGCTGCTAATTTCTTGATAACCATCTTGCGGTTTTAAAAAATATGTCCACACCCACACGCCCGTAAATTACACACACTTATAGGCTGTCACTGATTTATGGGCCTCTCCAAAATTACATCGTTGTGTGAAATTACAAAACGCACGAATTTACAGAATTAGTGGCAGGCTCATCAGCATAATTCGGCCTCCCTTTTCTCTCTGCAATATATTAGGAATCTTCTCGCATAACAAATACTCTTCCTCAACATCAGCTTTTATAGCCGCGTCCACTGTGCGCATTATCCATTTTTTTTGGTTTCTGGTGCATTCCTTCCGCCCTGGGCCTGTTCCCAAGTCCTCTTGCATTTAGTTCTCACGGCAGCTGGTAATTTAAATATATATATATTTTTATTTTCAGAGAGGAAAGGAGAGGGAAAGAGAGACATCAATGATGAGAGAGAGTCATGGATCGGCTGCCCCCTGCACGCCCCCCACTGGGGACGAGCCCATAACCCGGGCCTGTGCCCTGACCGGGAATCGAACTATGACCTCCTGGATCCTAGGTCGACACGGAGCCCCGCCGGCCGGGCCGAGCTGGTCCGTCTGTGGGAAAGGCGGCTGATGGAGCTGGGGGGCCCTGCACCTGGAGCTGGAGTTCCCACCCACCAGGTCCCCGACCGGGACACCCTCCCCGCATCCCAGCGGCCTCTCACTCGCTGAGGGATGAGAACCTCCCCAGTCCTCCCGAGGGCTACGTTCACGTCTCAAATGATCTTTTAATCAGTTTGCAGGGCCCACGCGAGCTCGTCAGCCTGCAGGGGACCTTCCACGCGCGGCTGGAATTCACAAGGAGGCGCCTTCCTCAGGGCCCCGCGGGCGCGGCCGCCGCCCCGACGTGGACGGGACTCGGTGGGCAGAGCCGCCGCCGGCCCCTGCCTAGGGCGCCTCTTCCTCTTCCTCTCACTCCCTGCTCTGTGAGCTCTGCTTCCCAGACCAATTTCCTTACGTTTTTAGTTAACCTAGAGCTTAATGAGCTTGGTGTTTAAAGGGCGTGCGAGGCCCCCAAGGGGCTCTGGGGAGGGAGACAGTGAAGGCGTGACCTAATGGGACAGCCTTCCCGGCAGCCGTGGCCATGGCCGTGGCCGGCCCCCTCCACAGAGGGCAGCGAGCGGAGGGGAGGCTGCCTGGGGGGCCAGGGACCGCCGTGCACCCCGATGTGGAACGTCAGAGACCCGGGATCGAGGCTGGGCAGGGGTTTCTGTGGGGTCTTTTACAAAACACCAATCAGCCCGGCCTGCGCAGCCCAGTGGTTGAGCGTCCACCTATGAACCAGGAGCTCACGGTTCCATTCACGGTCAGGGCACATGCCTGGGTTTCGGGCTCGATCCCCAGTAGGGGGTGTGCAGGAGGAAGGGATTTCAGAGGGGAAGGGAGAGGGAGAGAGAGACAGAAACATCAGTGATGAGAGAGAATCATCCATCGGCCGCCTCCTGCATGCCCCACACTGGGATGGAGCCACAGCCTGGGCCTGTGCCCTGACCGGGAATCGAACCGCGAACTCCTGGTTCATTGGTTGACGCTCAGCCCCTGAGCCAGCTGGCGGCCCAACGGGATTTGCCAGTGACGCTGCCAGCAATGTGTCTGCCCCACCTCGATGGCCTGTATGTAAACATGCACACACCTCTCCACAGAACGTGCGAAGGTTGAGGTGTGGGCTCCGGAGGGAGCCGGGTGGCGGAGTCCCGGGCACGGAGCCGCTGGCTGACCTGGGTGGCGTGTCGGCACCTGGAGGCGCTGGGGGCTCCGGGTCGGCCGCACCAGCTCTTACAGGTGACGGCGACAGTGACATTGACAGCAGGCCTGGCCAGGAGATCGGGGTTCTGTCGCCCTTGCCCTGGAAACGCCCCGGGGGGATAATGACGTGGAGGACAGGCATCCAGGCCGGGTGTCGCCGGGCGGCAGCGGCAGGAGAGCTATTGCCACGGAAGCCAAAGGGACAGGAAGCCAGAGGCGCCCTCCTGGCCTCCCCAGGCCCAGGGATGCCCTCGCTCATTTCTCAGCCGCAGGTTGCACGCTGAACACCACCTCCTCCGTCAAGGAAGGGTGGGGGGGGTGGCTGCTGCGAGGACATCCACCGCATTTCCTTGGGCATTTGGAAACGCGAATGGGCCCTCAGCTCCCGGTTCTGCCTTTTGGGCCTTGAATTTACCGTCAGGTGCAGAGCAGACCCCATGGGCTGCAGATGCCCGCTCAGCCCAGGCTCTGCACAAACGCTCTCCGACCCTCATCGAAAGTCGCACTGAGACGCCTCCCGTGTCCAGGGCCGGCTCGGCAGGCGGCCCTCGCTGTCTGCAGGGCTCACCTCGCCCTCGGCTCGGGGGGCCATTCAGGCTGTGAATCCAACCACGTGCTCAGGATGGAAATGCCGCCTCTGCATCAAAACAGCAGGCAGACTCGCGGGCATTTGCAGCCCCGGCGATGGCTGTGTCCCCAGAGCCCAGTCGCTTCTCAGGGTCACACGGATGGTCTTGCGCCCACTCTCCTCCTTCCTCCCCCCTTTCCTCACGGGACGGCTCTTGGTCATGCTGGTTCCACTCCTGAGTCTTTGGGGCCCACAGGGCTTCCTCTCGGCTTCTAGCCGCGCCGCCTGTACCCCCCCCCCCCCCCACTTTGGGTCAGGTCCCCAGAGCTTTTTCTACACACGACTCGACTACTCTCACTTTTTGGGTTGTGAAGGAAAACCCTTATTCTGTAAAAATACTGTTTGGAATTCTCTGCTATTCTTTGGACGGCCTCTTATTCTGAAAAAGTAACTTTGCTTTCTAGCCTGCTTGAATAGCGAGGGAGATAAACTTAGCTCTCTGACCTTGTAGGCCAGAGACTAGATACACCCAATGCCATGCCAGGTGCATTTTTTAATTGGATAGAACTGTATAGTTTTCAAGGCCGCCGCCAGCAAGCACACAAAGGGCTGGCTCTTCTATAAAAAGGGAAGTTCTGCTTGTAGCTTGGCTTAGATTTGGATTCCTTTCCCTGAGCCCGTCGCGGTGAATAAAGTGTAACTCCAAACTCTCAGAGCGTTGTTTGGTTCTGGTCCGGTTTTTTCTGTAACAGGGTGACTTTCACGAAGTCCTCCGATGGCCACTGGCGTGAAGGCACTCACACCGCGGCCCACGACCTTCACGCAATGCCCAGGACCGGCGCCGATGCCGGTTACAGTGTCTGCCTGTGTGTCGGCCGTGCCCGCTGCGGTAACAGAACGCACAGCCGGGTCAGCAGCACAGGAGGTCACAGGAGGTCACGGCTCACAATTCCGGAAGCTGCCAAGTCCATGGCCACGGCCCCAGCAGGTTCGGTCCGGTGAGGGCTTGGCTCCCTGGCTCGTGACAGCCTTCCTGCTGGAACCTCACGCGGCCGGAGGAGCAGGGGGCTCGCGGGTCTCCTTGGCGAGGGCCCTGGTCCCTGTGACCCTCCCAGGGTCCCACCTCTTGACACCGTCACATGGGGGCGGGGTTGCAGCGTAGGAATTTGGGGGACACACACATTTAGCCCTCGGCACCCTCTGACTACAAGTAGGAGGTGGCCGAGCAGACGAAGGGGGTCCCCTCGGTCATGTGTTCGTTGGACACGGTCACGCCCCCTACATGCTCGGATCCCGGGAATGAATAAGCCGCGGCTCCTGCCAATCGGATCTCGCCGTCCGAGGGGAGAGGCGGAAGAAACTATCGCACAGTCACCTGACACACGTCGCCACGGCACCGCCATGAGAAGCCAGCAGGAAAGAGGGGGAAAGCAGGAGGCGCCTGGCCAAGGAGAGGGCATCCAGCTGTCCCCTCCGGTCCCACGGCGCTGGTGTGGACGGCGCCCACGTGCCCTGGTCTAGCCACGGGTCTCCGCCTGGGCGCCGGGTGGGAGGTGCCCGAGCCAGCGATAGAGTGAATGCCATTCTGTCACCAAAGACTGTGCCTCGGTGCTTCCCAGGCGTTTTTGAAATACCGAGAACCATAAACGGTAACCAGCACCCATTGACTCAGAACCCAGTGTTTAAACTACTACGATGCTGTCATTTTTGTTTCAGATCCATGTTGCTTAATATTTAAGGGAGCTGGAATAATGTAGCAGAGATGAAATACCTTTGCATCCCTCCTCAGTTTCAGGCTCCTTTCTTTCTCCCAGGAGCACCATCATCATAAATTTGGTTTGTGTTTGTCTACTCCGTTTGAAATGATCCCATCACGTCTCAATGAATACATATCTCGGTACCAGATTGCAGACTATGGGTTTATGCATTTAGACCTTTACAGAAGCCCTGCATTATGCACAGCGTAGCATCCCACAGCCTGGTCTCTCATGCAACACGATGCTTTCCGAGATCCCGCCGTCTCGCTCTGCGTATGAGCTTATTTATTTTAAACTAGAGGCCCGGTGCACGACATTCATGCACTGGGGGGTGGGGCGGTCCCTCAGCCCGGCCTGCGCCCTCTCACAGTCCGGGACCCCTCGGGGGATGTCCGCCTGCCACGGAGGCTGTGCTCTCCAGCCGTGAGCCCGGCTTCTGGCTGAGCGGCGCTCTCCTGGTGGAAGCGCATTGACCACCAGGGGGCAGCTCCTGCGTTGAGCGTCTGCCCCCTGGTGGTCAGTGTGCGTCACAGCGACCGGTCGTTCTGCCGTTCGGTGGATTTGCATATTAGGCTTTTATTATGTGGGATTTTGTGATGGGAATGCAGGGTACCCTTCATCATCCCGAGGAGGTTCCAGTCCTGCTTTGCCAGGAGTTTTTAAAGTCACTAATAGCTGATGAATTCTGTGACCCCCTGCATCCCTGGAGCCGATACCATGGCGTCCTTCACGGATTTCTGAATGTCAGTCCGCCTGCGCCCCCGCAACAAGCCGGCCCGGCCCGGTGCTCTCGTCCTCGGCTGCCGGGCCCTCGGTGACGCTTTGCGTTTCTGCTCCTGGACGTGATCAGCTTTGTCAGGACTTGGCAGAGGGACCCTCAGAACGAGCTTGGGGCGTCCCTG